TTTGCATAAAGGACAGGTAATAAACTATTAGGGTCTGTAATTAGTTGGGAGGGATGCATCTCCTTCTTTCAAAATAGAAGTAACATTACCCGCTTCTCAACAATGTAGGAAATACAGTCACTAGTGATATATTATACAACAAACAAAGAGGTTCAGCTATAGATGTACAAATTCGTTTTAACACTCTCATGTTAATGCCATCAGGTACACTAGATTTGTTTGCTGGTAAGGTCTTATCAGATACCCTTTTCGGTTACAATGACATTTGTTATACTGTTAACACACAGCGATGGCTAACAACAGGTGGCAAAAGTCTTGCCGCCATCAGTAACATTTATTTGAAACAGATACACAATATTCATTTAATGTTTGAGCTTTATCCAAATCTGTAAAACTGAAGGTATCCCAGAATCATCAGTTACAAGAAGGGAATGTCCCGATGAAGTAGTAAATCAACTCCGTTTGAGTAGACTGAGGTGATAAATAGTTATCACAAATAGATTAAACGTATCCCATGGCTATTCTTTTAGATCATTTATTTTATTCCTTTGCTTTTGTACTTTAAATAGCTCAGAAGTATTCAGAGATCGAAATGCTTTTTCCTAAGATGTTCTCTCTTTCTTTAAGTATTTTACGAGGGCGTTGACAAAGCAGTCAAACTAACTATATTCTCGATGTCCAATGTTTGAAGAAAAGCTTCCATTTTCGTTTGAAGGAATCATTAGCAAAGTCATATCCAAAATTTCATGTGGATAATGTGGTTAACGAGATATTAGTCATCACAACATTGGGGTATTATGTTTCTTGCAAATTTGCAGAAAATGGAAAACGATCTCCCATTTGGTATCTAGTAATAGTAATAGTCCGCTTATATGGCGCTCACATCCAGGCACATTGCCTGCTCACGGCGTTACGTACACTACTATCCCCGATCATAGGACACTATCGTAGTTTCCGATACCTTTTCAACTCCCTGGGGACTGTACAGCCATGCTGCCTGTTAGGCGCAATGAACTAAACACTCACATTGCCAGCACATACTCACGGGTACCCATTTAACAGCTTGGTGAACTGAGACAGTGTAGATCTAGGTATTTTGTCCAAGTATACTACACAAATGTGCCCCCTCCCCCCAATTTTCAAAAACATTGTGTCCAGATATACAACATATTGAGAGCTGACACTTGTGTGACCATTCAGTATTTAGTTTGAACCCTTGACATCATGTATGAATAAGTGAAAACTTTAGGATGAGTTATATCCTTATGATGATGTCAACTGAAAGGGGGTGGAAAGTGTCTCCGAAACAAGCCCTTTCAGTAAACACAGCGTGAAGGGGAGTCACTTGAAAAAGCGGTGATTATAGTTTTAAAATTGCTTTTATGTGCAGTTTAATATCTAAGTTTGACTTTTACCAACATACAACATGTTTTTGCATATTTTGTTTCAATTGGTGTAGGGGATTCCCGCCTATACACCTTGATATAAAATTGATCAAAATCTATTAATTCTTTCCTAAGTTCCATGGCTACCAAGCTTTGGTATAAAGGTGAAACTGTTACACCTTCGCTGTGACCTTTAAAATGGCCTCAAGCTGTCACTAAACTCAAGTGGTGACCGTAGATCTTGTCAATAAACCTTTGTACCAAATTTGAACAAAATCCGTGATTTCTTTCTCGAGTTCTTTCAGTAAACAGAATGGGGAGTCATTTGAACAAGCGATTGTAGTTTCAAATTGCCGTTTTGTGCAGTTTAATATCTAAGTTTGATTCTAGCTGACCTCTACCAACTTCAAACATACAAAAATGTTTCTTGTATATTTTGTTTCCTGAAGTTTAATATATACTCTCCCAAAAAGAAACGCATATAGGAATTTCAACTGTATTTTTATGTTTATTTTGAAAACATCTTGTAGGCTTTATGAGTCAATGAAATATAGCGAAATTGCACACTGGGAATGCAGACTTATCCGTCTTTGGCACCAACTCGAGGAAAGTCAGTTTGAGTGTCACATGGAGACGATGTGGTGGCGCTGAAGTCAATACCTCGTGTGACCACCGTGGGCATCAGAACTGCACGGCATCGCCTCGGCATCGAACGAATAAGTCTCAGAATCTCGTGTTGCCCAATCGCAGCCCACTCTGCCTGTAGTGCCTGTGCGAGTTGCTGAAGTGTCTGGGGCTGAGGGTTACGGCGTCGCACCCGTCTGTCAGGGCATCCCACAGATGTTCGATCGGGTTTAAGTCCGGTGATCTTGAGGGCCAGGGGAGCACATTGATGTTGTGGTTCTGGAGGAAGTCTCTAGTGTGACGTGCTGTGTGGGGCCTGGCATTGTCCTGTTGAAACAACTCCCTCTGGCGATCAATGATTGGAAGGAGGTGTGGGCGTAGGATTTCGTCACAGTACCGTTGAGCTGTCAGGTTGCCCTGGATCATCACCAAATCACTTCTCCTACGGCAGGTGATCGCTCCCCACATCATAACACTTCCCCGGCCGAATCTGTCCACCTGGGAACGCAAGCGTCGGCGAAACGTTCACGTCGACGTCTGTACACCCGCATTCTTCCATCGCGTCGTTCCAATAGAAATCGTGATTCATCACTGAACCAGATTCTACGCCAATTCGGTAGGTTCCAGGCCTGAACGTTGGTGCACCATTGAACTCGATGTCGACGATGTTGTTGTCGAAGCACAGGGCCAAAATAAGGTCTTCTGGCACGTAAACCAGCCTCTCTCAACCTGTTCCTGACGGTCTGTGCAGAAAGCCTCCTCAATCCGGGTATTTGTCAGGCGGTACTGGTCGCCGTAGCTGTTCGATGACGCAGGTGATGTACCCGGATGTAGCGATCCTGCGCCGCAGTGGTCGCTCGAGGTCGCCACTACGAGGGGCATCTGCTACCGCATTCTGCCGGCGATATCTCTCCCAGAGCCGTGAAATGGTGCTTTGGTGAACATTCATGCGTCGGGCAACTGCACGTTGAGACTGGCCAGCTTCAAACAAACCAATGGCGATATGACGGTTGGCTTCACTTAGACGTGGCATTTTGCGTTCGTCAACAATATTCCAAATACAGTGAATAATCGACAGACAGCGATCAACCTTTTATACCCATCATTGAGACTATCTGATCCCCAACTTTCACGTGCATTGCATGTGAATTGTGTATTCTGTGACACTACACGCCGAAATTGAAAATCATGCTGTTAAATACGGGTATTTTACGGATGGTGCGTTTTGTTGTGATGTTTCAAAACATAAACACCATAGGACTCATAAACAGAGCAAAACCTTTTGTAAAATGAATCACGTTTTAATTCATTGCTACATGAAATTGCTATTTTCATGATGCGTTTCTTTTTGGGAGAGTATAGGCAAAGGCATGGTTTCCACATTATGCTCCTGCAGAAATGCTCTAGTGAGTCTGGCGGTATGTGCACGCGCATTGTCCTGCTGGAAAACATGACGCCGATGACGTGCTAAAAACGGCACAACTTGGGGTCGTAGGACTTGGTCGATGTACCGTGCAGCTGTCACACCATTCCCTCTTCCTGGACCGAGATTCTGGAAGATAACCGGACCGATTTTCTGTTTAAGTCCGATTCGACCCCAAACCATAATGCTCTGACCACCCCAAGCGTTTCTCTCCATCACACACTCATCATTGAAGCGTTCTCCTCTCGCGACGCCAGACCCTAGTCCTTCCATCAGCCACAGATACGCCCAATAGAGGCTTTTATCGGAGAAGATAACAGTTCTCCACTGTCTCTGATGCCAGTGTTGTCGCTGTTGTGTCCAGTGTAGACGTTCGCGGTGGTGACGTTGCGTTAGCACTGGACCCAGGGCAGGACCTCTACAGCACAGGTTGCGGGCTTGAAGGCGTCGCCGAACGGTGCGGTCACTGATTGCTCTTTGGTGGGTGCCAGTGGTGTTTCGAGCTGTCTCTGTTGCCCTGTTGAACCGGTCTTGCAAGTGGTGGCGGACGATCTGTCTCTCCTGGCGACGGGTGGTTACCAGGGGACGACCACTACGTGGACGGTTATCTGTGCTGTTGGTGGTGTTGAACCTATGACGGAGATGTTCAATTGTTCTTACAGAACAATTGAAGTCATTGGCGATGACAGTAGCACGTTGACCTGCGTGGAGACGTCCGATGGCCTGTTGTCGTTGATCCCTTGTTAACCTCGGCATAGCTGCTGTAGTCAGGAAACGACTAAAGGATCGGTAGTCAAGCTGGGAATTAATACCCTGTATGCGCACGAGATGCACGTACAGTGTGCTTTCAATGTTGCGTTTGGTTGAGCTGTTCCTTGTCGAAAAACAGTGAAACGTTTTGAAACCATCCGAAAAGTTGGTGTACAAACCTATCATCTAGTGTTCGAATCATGTTTTTTAAATGCTGTTTTCAGTCATCAAGTGACAACTAGTTTATCAAAATACACCATTGATACCAAATCCACAATCTGAAAAAATACGACGCCGTTTCTTTTGCCTTTTAGTATATATCATATTGATGATTTTTCAGAATCAATCTTGGAAAACAACAGTTCAGCCACTATCTGGTTCGAACCTTCATTCAAACAAAACCTGTCACTACTGAACGATCTTCTTCGCTTAAAATCATTAAAAAACACTACCTTCGAATGATACATATTTTTGGATTTACAATGTTTCCGGTAAGTGACAAGCTACCACTGTACAGAAACCTGGTGACAAACGCAACCCTAAATGCCGTGACATAAATAATATCATTCCACGGGTCAATTGACGGTGTCCGTTATCATCCCCTTCTATAACGAAGCATTGACGCCCTTACTACGTCATGTGCATACACTACTACACCGAACACCATCTCACCTGTTAAAAGAAATCTTATTGGTAGACGACAGAAGCACATTTTTCGTATCTATCAGGAGCCGATTTAGATCGTTATTTTTGAAATACTGGACAAAAGAATTAGGATACTTAGAAACAAAAAGAGAGATGGTTTAATAAGGACCAGAATGAACGGTGCCAGGAAGGCCAGAGGAGATGTTCTTGTGTTCCTGGATGCACACATGGAAGTGGGCGTGGCATGGCTGGAGCCCCTTCTGGAACGAATAGTCAGTCAGCCACAGGGTGTAGTTCAACCCGACATACTTGACATAGAATACAGGTAAGTTCAGGATCCTAATAATTCTCTACTTTCTTTACTTTGAATTGATACTGATAGTACAGAATGCTGTGACACACTTCCTGGCATATTAAATATGCATACGTCAGTGCATCCCGGGAAGATATTTTAAACATAACGAAACTTGATTCTTATAGAAAGGGCAACATCAGGAACCTTGGTATTTTATGGAACGTTTCAATCTTTCACAACCTGAGGTGTCCACGTATGTCATTGTCACCTAAATGCTAAATGTCCAGGACCTCCAAGTACTGATACAGCTGATATACGGTTGACCCAGAGTTTTCTGGCATCATGAGGAAGTATATTCGGAGTACTTCCTTTTAACAATAGTTCAAATATTGGTATAACGAGTGACGTACACCAAGGGACGAAAGCAGGGTGGCTGAAAAGATTGGTTGGAACATTGGTTCTGATGATGGGTTGATCAGTGAGTGCGTCGGTTCTTTACCACCCAACTGGCGGCATTCCATTAATATCACGGGGGTTGGAGTTAAAAAGCAATGGAAGATCAAACACTGCACTCACTTGGCTGCTTCACCGCCGTAAATGTGTAGATGAGAGTCAAGTTACGTCACGGAATCATCCAGCCGCCTTCTCGTTTGATGTAGTATGTTGTGGTTTGCATTGTTAGGTGCCCCATGATGTATTTTTGGGAGTGTGAATCCCTCATGAAACCCCATTGAAATCGCTCCAGTAACTGCTTCATAACCATGCCTGTGGAGTTTACCAAAGGTCACCTGATGACTGTGCAAGAATTAGCTCATGTGGTGTAAAAGAAATCCATAATGTAGGCAGGTAGTCATATTCGTCAAACTTCTAAATGCCTTTAAAAAAACATGTTGTGATAGTGTACGTCTACAACTCTTCACATTGTGCCCTCACTTGCTTTTTCAGACATCCGAAAACATCCAACCATTCCGTTGTCAATGGGGAATCTTACAAGAAGGAACAAGATAACACCAGGCCTGGCATGTCTTGGGAAATGAGGTAAAATAGATTAAGTAATAGCCAAAAGAATAAGTTGCTGACGTTACATGTGCAACATGTGTAATAAGTAGAGTTGCTGACGCTACATATTGCAACATGTGTAATGAGTAGAGTTGTTGACGTTACATGTGCAACATGTGTAATGAGGTAGAGTTGCTGACGTTACATGTGCAACATGTGCAATGAGGTAGAGTTGCTGACGTTACATGTGCAACATGTGTAATGAGGTAGAGTTGCTGACGCTACATGTGCAACATGTGTAATGAGGTAGAGTTGCTGACATTACATGTGCAACATGTGTAATGAGGTAGAGTTGCTGACGTTACATGTGCGACATGTGTAATAAATTAGAGTTGCTAACGTTACATAATGCAACATGTGTAATAAGGTAGAGTTGCTGACATTACATGTGCAACATGTGTAATAAAGAGTAGAGTTACTGACGTTACATGCAACATTGTATGTGCAATGAATAGAGTTGCTAATAACGTTACATGTGCAACATGTGTAAATAAGATAAGAGTTACTGACGTTACATGTGCAACATAATGTAATGAGAATTAGAGTTGCTGACGTTACATGTGCAACATATGTGTAATGAGAGTAGAGTTGCTGACGCTACATGTTGCAACATGTGTAATGAGGAATAGAGTTGCTGACTTTACATGTGCAACATGTGTAATGAGGAGGAGTAGAGTTGCTAACGTTACGTATTGCAACATGTGTAATGAGGAGTAGAGTTGGCTGACGTTACATGTGCAACATGTGTAATGAGGTAGAGTTGCTGACGCTACATGTGCAACATGTGTAATGAGGTGGAGTTGCTGACATTACATGTGCAACATGTGTAATAAGGTAGAGTTGCTGACATTACATGTGCAACATGTGTAATGAGTAGAGTTACTGACGGTACATGTTGCGACATATTAGTAATAGAAATTAGAGTTGCCTAACGTTACATGTGCAACATGTGTAATGAATTAGAGTTGCTGACATTACATGTTGCAACATGTGTAATGAAATTAGAGTTGCTGACGTTACATGTGTAATGAGGAAGAGTTGCTAAGCGTTACATGTGTGCAACATGTGTAATAAAAGAATAGAGTTGCTTTGACATTACATGTGCAACATGTGTAATGAAATTAGAGTTGCTGACATTACATGTTGCAACATGTGTAATGAGAATTAGAGTTGCTGACATTACATGTGCAACATGTGTAATGAGGTAGAGTTGCTGACATTACATGTGCAACATGTGTAATGAGGTAGAGTTGCTGACATTACATGTGCAACATGTGTAATGAGGTAGAGTTGCTGACATTACATGTGCAACATGTGTAATGAGGTAGAGTTGCTGACATTACATGTGCAACATGTGTAATGAGGTAGAGTTGCTGACGGTACATGTGTGACATGTGTAATAAGTAGAGTTGCTAACGTTACATGTGCATGTGAAATGAGTAGTAGGTTGCTATTGGTACATGTGCAACACATGTGTAATGAGTAGAGTTGCTGACGTTACATGTACAACATGTGTAATGAGGTAGAGTTGCTAACGTTACATGTGCAACATGTGTAATGAGGTAGAGTTGCTGACATTACATGTGCAACATGTGTAATGAGGTAGAGTTGCTGACATTACATGTGCAACATGTGTAATGAGGTAGAGTTGCTGACGGTACATGTGTGACATGTGTAATAGAGTATTAGAGTTGGGTTAACGTTACATATTGCAACATGTGTAATAAAGGCAGTTACTGACATTACATATTACAACATGTGTAATGAGTAGAGTTGCTGACGTTACATATTTTAACATGTGTAATGAGAGTAAGAGTTACTTTAACGTTACATATTGCAACATAATGTAATGAGGTAGAGTTGCTGACGTTACATGTGCAACATGTGTAATGAGGTAGAGTTGCTGACGTTACATGTGCAACATGTGTAATGAGGTAGAGTTGCTGACTTTACATGTGCAACATGTGTAATGAGGTAGAGTTGCTAACGTTACATGTGCAACATGTGTAATGAGGTAGAGTTGCTGACGTTACATGTGCAACATGTGTAATGAGGTAGAGTTGCTGACGCTACATGTGCAACATGTGTAATGAGGTAGAGTTGCTGACATTACATGTGCAACATGTGTAATAAGGTAGAGTTGCTGACATTACATGTGCAACATGTGTAATGAGGTAGAGTTGCTGACGGTACATGTGCGACATGTGTAATAAGTAGAGTTGCTAACGTTACATGTGCAACATGTGTAATGAGGTAGAGTTGCTGACATTACATGTGCAACATGTGTAATGAGGTAGAGTTGCTGACGTTACATGTGCAACATGTGTAATGAGGAAGAGTTGCTAACGTTACATGTGCAACATGTGTAATAAGGTAGAGTTGCTGACATTACATGTGCAACATGTGTAATGAGGTAGAGTTGCTGACATTACATGTGCAACATGTGTAATGAGGTAGAGTTGCTGACGTTACATGTGCAACATGTGTAATGAGGTAGAGTTGCTAACGTTACATGGTGCAACATGTGTAATGAAATAGAGAGTTGCTGACGTTACATGATGCAACATGCAACATGTGTAATGAGGTAGAGTTGCTGACGTTACATGTGCAACATGTGTAATGAGTGTAGAGTTCTGATGACGTTACATGTGTAATGAGGTAGAGTTTCTGACGTTATATATGCAACATGTGTAATGAGGTAGAGTTTCTGACGTTACATGTAATGAGGATTAGAGTTGCTAACGTTACATGTGCAACATGTGTAATGAGGTAGAGTTGCTGACGCTACATGTGCAACATGTGTAATGAGGTAGAGTTGCTAATGTTACATGTGCAACATGTGTAATGAGGTCAGAGTTGCTGACGTTACATGTGCAACATGTGTAATGGGGTAGAGTTGCTGACGGTACATGTGCAACATGTACAATAAGGTAGAGTTGCTGACGTTACATGTGCAACATGTGTAATGAGGTAGAGTTGCTGACATTACATGTGCGACATGTGCAATGAGGTAGAGTTGCTGACGTTACATGTGCAACATGTGTAATGAGTTAGAGTTGCTGACGGTACATGTGCAACATGTGTAATAAGCAAGAGATGCTAACGTTACATATGCAACATGTGTAATACGAAATAGAGTTGCTAACGTTACATGTGCAACATGTGTAATGAGGTAGAGTTGCTGACGTTACATGTGCGACATGTGTAATAAGTAGAGTTGCTAACGTTACATGTGCAACATGTGTAATAAGGTAGAGTTGCTGACATTACATGTGCAACATGTGTAATGAGGTAGAGTTGCTGACGTTACATATTAATGCAACATGTGTAATGAGGTATAGAGTTGCTAACGTTACATGTTGCAACATGTGTAATAAGGTAGAGTTGCTGACGTTACATGTATGCAACATGTGTAATGAGAATAGAGTTGTTGCTGACGTTACATGTGTACAACATGTGCTTAATGAGATTAGAGTTGCTGACGCTACATATTGCAACGCATTAAAGCATGTAATGAGGAATAGAGTTGCTGACTTTACATGTTATTGCAACATGTGTAATGAGGGTAGAGTTGCTAACGTTACATGTGCAACATGTGTAATGAGCGTAGAGTTGCTGACGTTACATGTTACAACATGTGTAATGCCGAGAGGTAGAGTTGCTGACGCTACATTATTGCAACATGTGTAATAATAAGGTAGAGTTGCTGACATTACATGTGCAACATGTGTAATAAGGTAGAGTTGCTGACATTACATGTGCAACATGTGTAATGAGTAGAGTTGCTGACGGTACATATTGCGACATGTGTAATAAGTAGAGTTGCTAACGTTACATGTGCAACATGTGTAACGGAGAGTTGCTGACGTTACATATTGCAACATGTGTAATGAGATTAGAGTTGCTGACGTTACATGTGCAACAGCATGTGTAATGAGGAAGAGTTGCTAACGTTACATGTGCAACATGTGTAATAAGAGTAGAGTTGCTGACATTACATGTGCAACATGTGTAATGAGGAAAGAGTTACTGACATTACATATATGCAACATGTGTAATGAAGATAGAGTTGCTGACATTACATGTGCAACATGTGTAATGAGGTAGAGTTGGTGACATTACATGTGCAACATGTGTAATGAGGTAGAGTTGCTGACATTACATGTGCAACATGTGTAATGAGGTAGAGTTGCTGACATTACATGTGCAACATGTGTAATGAGGTAGAGTTGCTGACATTACATGTGCAACATGTGTAATGAGGTAGAGTTGCTGACGGTACATGTGTGACATGTGTAATAAGTAGAGTTGCTAACGTTACATGTGCAACATGTGTAATGAGGTAGAGTTGCTGACGGTACATGTGCAACATGTGTAATGAGGTAGAGTTGCTGACGTTACATGTGCAACATGTGTAATGAGGTAGAGTTGCTAACGTTACATGTGCAACATGTGTAATGAGGTAGAGTTGCTGACATTACATGTGCAACATGTGTAATGAGGTAGAGTTGCTGACATTACATGTGCAACATGTGTAATGAGGTGAGTTGCTGACATTACATGTGCAACATGTGTGTAATGATGAGTAATGAGAGATTGCTGGTGAGTACATGTGTGACATGTGTAATAAGTAGAGTTGCTAACGTTACATGTGCAACATGTGTAATGAGGTAGAGTTGCTGACGGTACATGTGCAACATGTGTAATGAGGTAGAGTTGCTGACGTTACATGTGCAACATGTGTAATGAGGTAGAGTTGCTAACGTTACATGTGCAACATGTGTAATGAGGTAGAGTTGCTGACGTTACATGTGCAACATGTGTAATGAGGTAGAGTTGCTGACGTTACATGTGCAACATGTGTAATGAGGTAGAGTTTCTGACGTTACATGTGTAATGAGGTAGAGTTTCTGACGTTATATGTGCAACATGTGTAATGAGGTAGAGTTGCTGACGTTACATGTGTAATGAGGTAGAGTTGCTAACGTTACATGTGCAACATGTGTAATGAGGTAGAGTTGCTGACGCTACATGTGCAACATGTGTAATGAGGTAGAGTTGCTAATGTTACATGTGCAACATGTGTAATGAGGCAGAGTTGCTGACGTTACATGTGCAACATGTGTAATGGGGTAGAGTTGCTGACGGTACATGTGCAACATGTGTAATGAGGTAGAGTTGCTGACGGTACATGTGCGACATGTGCAATGAGGTAGAGTTGCTGACGTTACATGTGCAACATGTGTAATGAGTTAGAGTTGCTGACGATACATGTGCAACATGTGTAATAAGCAGAGATGCTAACGTTACATGTGCAACATGTGTAATAAGTAGAGTTGCTAACGTTACATGTGCAACATGTGTAATGAGGTAGAGTTGCTGACGGTACATGTGCAACATGTGTAATGAGGTAGAGTTGCTGACGGTACATGTGCGACATGTGTAATAAGTAGAGTTGCTAACGTTACATGTGCAACATGTGTAATGAGGTAGAGTTGCTGACGTTACATGTGCAACATGTGTAATAAGCAGAGATGCTAACGTTACATGTGCAACATGTGTAATGAGGTAGAGTTGCTAATGTTACATGTGCAACATGTGTAATGAGTATGAAGTTGCTGACGCTACATGTGCAACATGTGTAATGAGAAGTAGAGTTGCTAATGTTACATGTGCAACATGTGTAATGAGGGCAGAGTTGCTGACGTTACATATTACAACATATGTGTAATGGGGCAGTAGAGTTACTGACGGTACATGTGCAACATGTGTAATGAGATAGAGTTGCTAACGTTACATGTGCAACATGTGTAATGAGAGTAGAGAGTTGCTTCTGACGCTACATGTGCAACATGTGTAATGAGAGTAGAGTTGCTAATGTTACATGTGCAACATGTGTAATGAGAGCAGAGTTGCTGACGTTACATATGCAACATGTGTAATGGGGTAGAGTTGCTGACGGTACATGTGCAACATGTGTAATGAGAGAGTAGAGTTGCTGACGGTATGATGTGCGACATGTGCAATGAGGTAGAGTTGCTGACGTTACATGTGCAACATGTGTAATGAGTTAGAGAGTTGCTGACGATACATGTGCAACATGTGTAATAAAAGCAGAGATGCTAACGTTACATGTGCAACATGTGTAATAGAAATAGAGTTGCTAACGTTACATATTGCAACATGTGTAATGAGGTAGAGTTGCTGACGGTACATGTGCAACATGTGTAATGAGGTAGAGTTGCTGACGGTACATGTGCGACATGTGTAATAAGTAGAGTTGCTAACGTTACATGTGCAACATGTGTAATGAGGTAGAGTTGCTGACGTTACATGTGCAACATGTGTAATAAGCAGAGATGCTAACGTTACATGTGCAACATGTGTAATGAGGTAGAGTTGCTGACGGTACATGTGCAACATGTGTAATGAGGTAGAGTTGCTGACGTTACATGTGCAACATGTGTAATAAGCAGAGATGCTAACGTTACATGTGCAACATGTGTAATGAGGTAGAGCTCAGGGTATCGCTGTTGGCAACGTATGCACAAAGGAATTCAATGTTGACTCGACTGATCCCCCAAACACCAATATAACATATTCACAGGGTGTTTGACAAACATCGTGTCATCGTACTGCTCTTCCAATGATATAATTCATAGAGATCAGAAGGGAGCATGGAAGTTATGTTGGAGATGCAAGGGTCAACTTCTCGTACAAAAACAAATATTTTGGAAGAGGTTAAAACATATCCCCTCAACCTATTTACAGCTGCGAATTTACAGCTGCTATTAACGAATGTAACGGACTTTTTTATTCAGCTGTAAATAGGTTGCGGTGATATATAACCTCTTCAAAATATTCGTTTTAATACAAGAAGAATCCCATTCGCTGTCTGGGCTGCGTGTAGAGGGGACAAGGGTCCTGAGCTGATGATGAGCCTTACCAGCCTGACTGTGCCAGGATCACCCGAACCCTCTCTGCTGCATTGTGATCTTAATTTGCCAAACATAATTAATAAGATCATGTTTGATACCGCCCCAAACTTTGACACAACTACTGCAGGAATGGTCCAGGCTGTGTAAATGCTTTGCAGACTAGAGATGCAAAACGCCAGGACAACCGTGTATTGGTGGGAAATACCAAACAAAAACAATAGGTTTGAAAAAGGCGATGAGTAATAACCTTATAAATGCATATCGCAGCCACATCTGCTTAGAAGTTGCTCCGTTACTTTTAGTCGCAGTTATGAACATTCATATTTCTATCCAAAGAAGAAATAATCTGAAGTGTGAACAATTCCTAAACTTTAAAATCATGTTTTGACATATCCTGGAATCATTTTCTATTCAGCTTTTAAAATATCAAAATCTCATTAAATCAAAACACGCAACATTTCAATTTTCAAAGACTTCAGTTCTTTACTGAATGGTTATAAATGACCAAAAGCTCAATGTAACAAACTTGATCACAAAATGATTTTGGATTTGTAAATGTGTTTAGAGTAAATACTTTCCTCTCCAGATGTCATTGTATGCGACCTTTGAACCTCCTATCTTCGTTGCGAACATGATGATATCTTCCAATCGTGTACATATTTTGATGGGATTTAAACATCGTCAACTCCAGACAATGTCAACGTGAAAGTACTCATGAGATATGATTCCCATCTTTGCAGCCAGAATTGGTTTCCGTTCCCACCCTACCTCCACCAAGCTGGCTATCGCCAAACAGATGCCTTTCCATCACCAGCATTACAAGGATCGGCCATTGTGGTTCGAAGGTCTTACTTCATGAGTATCAGAGGCTTTGATGAAGGACTGAACATCTGGGGAGGCGAGCAGCTGGAATTGGCGTTGAAAGTTTGGATGACAGGAGGACGAGTTGAGACAGTCCCATGTTCTATTGTTGGCCACGTGTTTAAAGATAACCCGAATGTTAAAACAGACAAAGAGGATATTGCAGTTACGAAGAATGTTTTACGTATTGCTGAAATATGGATGGATGAGTACGCAGACTTTGTGATTGCAAATTCTAGAGCTAATTCTCATAATGGACACTTGCCTACTTTGACGTCACAAGAAGTTGAATCGATTCACGAGGGAAGGCATTTCAGGGAACGAATGGGGAGCAAGACCTTTAAATGGTATCTCGAGCATGTATTTCCTGAACTGAAAGTTCCATCAAGGGATGATCTATTGTGGGGAGAAGTCATGAAGGATGACAAGTGTCTTCTCGTCGTGGATGATACCTTTGTTGCTTTTGACGATGTATGCGAGTCATACGGCATTACTTTCAAAACAATCTTTTCTCTAGACAAACGGGGTAGTCTCCGGAATAATGGTCAGTGTTTTGGCTTAGATGCACAAACTATGAACCTTGTGATGATCCCGTGTTGCAAAGAGGATATGGCTGAATCTGTTGGTGAATGGGAATATACAGAACACGATCAGCTGATGTACCGAAGTCCTAGCGGAACATACTGTTTAAGTTTGGTTACGTCAAAGGACGCCATTCATATGGAATCCTGCGAGTCTACAAATGAGCAACAGTCATGGTCCTTTCAGATACGGTTTGAATGGGAATCATGAACTGAAAAGCCAGGTTAAAAAACCTAGTTGAAGATATTGATTTTCGATATTGATAAAAACCGCTCGTAATATTAGATATAATATCCTGGCGAAGGCACAGAATACCGAAGGGGCAGAATGGGGGTCCATGGACATAAATTCAAGGATCCCAAGACAAGTAGCATCTAAAACGTTCGTCTATAGGTGTGCAACAGGGATGGAAATAAGATTCAAGATATTTCTTGTTTTAAAATTAATACAGTTGAAAAAATGCAGCGTAAGGAAAACTATTTCATTAAAAAGATGTGTCCATCTTTGAATTGGTAAACATATATTTGAACTTGTATTTACCAATGCCGTGGATGAGAGAGCGGGCAGACTCAAAATCCACTAACCCCACAAAACTAGGTTGAAATAGCCTTCACAGAAGCGGTAAACCTAAACTCAAACAGATATCCTCAGCCGGAAACAAGCGTCACAACAACAGCCGATACAACAACAAAATGTCTTCATCTCTATTTTGAAACACGTAAGAAGTTGGATTGGGCACATATGATATGTTTCTTATGGACATTTCATGTACTTAAGAGGGAACACCAGAAAGCATGGAAATGTAGAACATTGTCAGTGTAGCGATAGTGAAATATGGCGTTGTGGAGAGGTCATGGGGCGGTGGAGTAGCCTAATGGTTAAGCGTTCGCTCGTCACGCTGAAGACCTGGGTTCGACTCCCAACATGGGTACAACGTGTGAGGTACATTTCTGGTGTCCCCTGCCGTGATATTGTTTGAATATTGCTAAAAGCGGCGTAAAACTAAACTCACTCACCCACTCACCGTGGACAGGTCTAAAGTACTGTCGGAAATTCTTTTTTTTCCAAATTTATATCAACAATTTATTAAGTTGATATGTGCAAGTGTGGAATATCTGTTAAACTAAGTTCGGCCTAACTACAGTCTCAGTGGTAGGGAGATAGGAAACGTTAAAAAAGGACTTTACTGAGGAGATATTAGTGCAGAAAGTCCAATGCGACTTATTTGGAACAGACCATGGCCTTATGCAAATTAGTGTGCGATGATATTGTATTACAAAGGATACTTTTTAAATGCCCATTTTGAAATTAGACTTAGCTTCATTATAAAAGATAGCTGACGTAAAAATGATAACTTTAATACTGAAACTATTAAGGATGCAGAACCATGGAGTCTCATTGTCACTAGAAAAATAAACAGGTAAGAGGGGTCGTCTCAAAAGCAACACCAGGACGGGTGTCGCAGATGGCGGTTGGGGTCGGGCTGGGTAGATATCTGGATAGAGATATCAGCTGAAATAAGATTATACAATTATTGACTTCTAGTGAGGTTGATCCAATGATTTATCGACCGAGGTGAATATCACATGTCCAAGGTCGATAAATCATTGGATCAACCAAACTGAAGTCAATAACTGATTTATTATGTGACAAAGATACTGAATACCTGTTCTTCTGTGACATAGGAGAGAGACTCAATATAAGCTGGAATAGGCTTACAGCTTTCAGAGGCAGTATTAATAAATGAAAGCATTTTAAAAAAAATTCAACTTGTTTGTTATCACAAACTTTTAGATATCTTTCAACAGTCAATAACATTTCAACATCTTTAAAATATCACAGTTCAAATATTTCAAGTCTCAATTTCAGCAGTGCGGAGTTCACAGCTGGAATATCCCAAATCTATTTTTAGCCACGGGAGATGTTTGGATTGTTATATCAATGTCGAGGTTGACATCACTTAGCGTCACAGCTGTCATGTGATTAAATGGGCCAATCAGAAGGGCGGAAATCTACCCGTCATATAATAAAATCCTTTAGGGGAATTAAACTGAGGAAGTAAACGGCATGTCATAACAGTTTACAAATACTATCCAGTCCTTTCGAGCCTCGGGTGGTCATGCCACCTATATATTTAGACATTTAATACGATGGCCGATTTAAGATTTTCTATGGGTATCATACTCTTTCATGTAAACTTTATGAAAGAAGGACGCGCAAGATGTTAATCAATAGATCAGACATATTCAACACGCATGAAAAAGCAAAAATATCTTTGAGATGGCCCCTTGTGCCTGTATGTAGCACATGCATTTCATGCCAGGTGAGTCAACGGTCCGTTGTCATACCTGGCTGAGAGACCTAATTGCTATCTATAGTCTGATCTATTGTTTTCAGCAGCTATTGGTATTTATTCTAAGATTTGCCCGGTTTTACGAGTAAGCATGCTTCTATTAAGCACATCCTATTAAGCATCCTACTGAACGCCCAGTTAGGCCGATGTGAGTTATTTCGACATATGCTATTTGCAATTGTGTAAATTGTAGGGATACAGAGTAACAGCCTAAAAACAGTTGTTTTTTTCTATTTCCGACAGTACTTTAGTAACAATGACGCCGTGCTGTGGCGCGATGACAACGACGTGGTACGTGTAGATGCCTGTTTATTACGATCATCAGAACGAGCACTGGTACGAGTCACCTGATCTGACTCCAGAGCGAATTCTTGAAGGCAGATAAACATTCCCAGTTTTCAACGCAGATATCTTGGCGTTTTTAACCCCTCATAGTTTAACACTGTCAAATCGAAAAGAGTTACCCAGATATATTAATCAACTGGAAATACATGTTTTGTCTCAAATGTTTAGAATACAACCACATTAGATAAATATAGTTGTCACAGCAGCCACAAACATTGCTGTCCTGGAGAAATGTCAGCTGTGACCAATTAGAATTTTGTTACAATAGAAGTTTGTTTGCAAAATCAATGGTTCTTTGTGAAGAGGTATATGTCGGCATTTCTACTCCACTGTAGCACAATCTGGCAAAATCTATTCAACGGCTGTTATTAAAGAGATATTGATATTACAATGCAACAATATCTTCTACTATATTGGAATATACAACAGATGTTTCTTTCACTTGTGTCTTTCACTTATGACGCCATTGCGATGTTTATTATGGGGATTAATTAAAGCCCTTGAATTCAATTTAGTACTTTTTGTTGTCGTTGTTTTTTTGAAGCAACAATTCAGGCAATTAAGCTTCGCCCTGTTTTTCTTTGTCAATTTGCGCATACTCTTTGAATCACTATCAAATAGTGATCGAGTAGGTATTCATGAAAAGTTGAGGGTATGCTGCTCTAGAGCTGGCAGCCGTCACAAATTATTATTTTATGGGTATTTATATAGCGCTATAATTCATCACATCTACATGCATATGATCAAAGCGCTTTGTTTTTACCTCGATCATTGGATGTCAATCCCAACGGCACATCGTATTATCAATCTCAACTCCCTGGGGATCATACAACTCGTGCAGCCACTAGGCGCACCAAGTAAATGTGGCTTTCCCATCCTTACGAGGTACCCATTCACAGCTGGGTGGACTGGGACACATAGTCACAGTACTTTGTCCAAATTTTATTGCACGTTGCTGTATCCGCAACTGGGTGTTTGCACATATTCATGTGGCCACCACTTGGTCATTTACTAACAGATTCGTGGGTTCTTTAAAGTGTAAAGGGTGTAATGTACACTAGGGGTTGTGACAAGACTGAAAGAATCCGCACACAAAGTTGACTCCAAGGATTGTACACCCGCCTCGATCCGGGCACCTTAAACTCGCTTGATCACTAGCCTGGCGCCATAGACAGCTCGCCCACCACGCATGTCATGTGACGGAAACGCCCCCATCTACCATACAACATTTTCAGAGCTTTTCTGCAGCCTTGAATGTTGTGCAGAGGTCAAACATCTTTTCTACAGGGGTGATGTGAGGTTCTTCCACGTCGAAACAGAATACTCGACCTTGTCAGTGCATAAATGTCAGTGATCTGCACCCCTTAGATCAAAAAGTCTTAAATCAATCGTTCTGAAACAAGGCTTTAAGTCATCTGACTGAAACGTCCAAAGAGACATTTGTTTCTTTCCACGATTCCATTATTAAAATCACTGCATACAACGAATCTGCATGCTCGGAGACCACATGTTCTAAATAAAGACGACAATTCTCTTTCCACATCCATGAACAATTTTTCCGACTATACAACGACACTTGTTTAAGAATCGATGCGAAATAGTAGTGATAACAGGTATTCGTAAAACAGTTATTAATATGTCAGCTTCAATTTAAGGCAAAATGACATTTTTGAGGCCATGATGGCAGTGACCATTACAAGTTATCCATGTACGAGACACTGGAAAGTACTAATGGGACAACATTCTTGCGCCAACTGTTTTGTCATATCTAAGCCGTGAAGCCCAAACCGTAATATTGCTGGAATGTTGCTAAAACGGCGTAAAACTAGATTCGCTCAGTCAATCACTCATTCCCACGCCTTGCAGTTCCCCGTGTTAAAGGCGACAAGGGGTTAAGCCTCCGCTCGTCATGCTGAATACCCGGGGTCGATTCCCCACAGTTTTTTTAAAATTAAACTTGTTTATTATCACAACCTCTTAGATATCTTTCAACAGTCAATAACATTTCAACATCTTTAAAATATCACAGTTCAAATATTTCAAGTCTCAATTTCAGCAGTGCGGAGTTCACAGCTGGAATATCCCAAATCTATTTTTAGCCAAGGGAGGTGTTTGGATTGTTATATCAAACTCGAGTTTGACATCACTTAGCGTCACTGCTGTCTTGAGTGAGGTGACCTTAATATCAATTGTGGATACTGTGTAGCCATATACTCCATTGTCATGTCTTCAGATATAGCACTCTGAAAAGCGAAATTACCTCGTTGAAAGAACACAATGAGCATATGCAAGTATCTAACATTGTAATGAAACAAGCTGTCGAGTATGTTCTTGAACAGATGGCAGACATTAAAGAGCAACTCACTTTGAATAATAGAGATGTAACAATGGCGTCGAAAACAAGCGCAGAACAATTGCCCACCACTCAGACGGAAACATTGTTAACTGAGAAATCTGGACGCAAAGAATGTAGGTTGACATCAACAACAAAAACAAACATGTGACACAATTAACAAATTTATTACTCAAATAATTAACTTTAAAAATCAATACAATTCACGGCAGAACAATTACAATGACAGTAGAAGCGTGACATTAATTATAGATTACTATTCAGTAAAAGTACAACTGCACTTGGAATTCAAGATAAACAGTTGGAATGGCTGTTAAATCAATGATCATAATTATAACATTCACCAACTACAGCAGGTGTTGGTCCTGGGATGGAGAACAGGAATAAGCAATCCATGTCTGCACAACACCGCTGGTCTTGATGTAATAACCCGTGAAGGTCCGGGTTAGAATGAATCTTCAGAAACCCATGCTTGTCGTAAGCGGCGACTAACGGGATCGGGTGGTCAGGCTCGCTGGCTTAGTTGACACATGTCATCGGTTCCCAATTGTGCAGGCCGTTGCTCATGCTATTGATCACTGGATTGTCTGGTCCAGACTCGATTATTTACAGACCGCCGACATAGAGCTGGAATATTGCTGAGTGCAGCGTAAAACTAATCTCACTCACTTCATGTAATAAGGGAGTATAGGGACTTGGGTTTGTCCACTTACCCTCCACAATATTCGATAGTATGCTGGATCAGCCTTTAACAGTTCAGACCCGTGAAGATCCGGGTTAGAATTGATCTTCAGCAACCCATGCTTGTCGTAAGAGGCGACTAACGGGATCGGCGGGTCAGGCTTGCTGACTTGATTGACACATCTAATCGTATACCAATTGCGTAGATCGATGCGTACGCTGTTGATCACTGGATTGTCTGGTCCAGACTGAAGCATTTACAGACCGCCGCCATATAGATGGAATATTGCTGAGTGTGGTGTTAATAACCAAACCAAACCATTCGTCATTAACAGTTCTATAATACTTCAGACGACATTAACTCCAAAACCATCAATAAATAATAACTACACAATGCTTACATTTAACAAGTAATTCATTGAAACAACAAATTATCGTTGACAGAAACAATGAAATACAATTACAACATCGTTCAAGAAGAAACTACATCACATATATGGTAGACAATTAGAATGGAGTAGTTTCGAAATTCTGCTTGTTCCGCATACAAAAGACTCCATGAACAGCGTGCCGTTGCGCAAAGCGATCTTAGCGCTAAGGTTACCGTAACTTCCATACCTTAACATAGAATTAAGGTAGCCTGAGCACTGAGGTTGTTTTGTACAATACCACCCAGGTCTAGACATGGAGTGTGCACCCTGTGCTGTTTCTGCTCCAAGCCATAGTGAAGATGCTGCTTCTGAAAATGGGCTGTTTCATTTGACAAGTTTCTTTTAATTATCTTTTATAGTTGAAGTTAAATGTGTCCCGTGTTACGTAAAGGCGACCAAATATAAAGTTTGTGCTTGTATGAACGTGTTGTGTTCATCACTGACACCTGTTTATAAAAATCGATTTTGGTCAAATAACCTTTGAGTCTACTATGAGGATTGATGCAGCTAAGGTCCATGCAGGTAACAAAGGCACTGTCCCCATGGTCCCTAGTATGGTGATCTACCTTCGGTTGCTGGTGATCTGTACCCTGTTTGTATATTGTATTGTTGTCTATAGTAATATATTTTTATTATAGCATAGTTTGAAGTTACGTTCTGTGATATTGTAGTTATTTTACTGTCTTTTAACAACAGGTTTTTACATTCTAAGTTTATTCATTTTAATATATAATTTGCTCTGTCTGGCTAAAATGTTGCATATATGAGCTCAATATTAACTCACTTACTCACTACATAACTACAAGGATTTAATTAGTCGATTGAAGTTAATAGAACAGAGATGTTCAAAATACCGTGTGAGTTTAGTTTTACGCCGCTTTTAGCAATATTTCAGCAATATCACGGCGAGGGATACCGGAAATAGGCTTCACACATTTTACCCATGTGGGGAATAGAACTCGGGTGTTCGGCGTGAGGGGCGAACGCTTTAACTACTAAGCTACCCCACAGCCCTTGTTCAAATTAGGCAAAAAGAGCTTCAGTAAACAACATGTATACCAAACTGACGTAAAAACGATTTGGTGTTTTGCGTTTGGGATACTTTGTATATCTTATTCGTATATTCAATTTTCAAATACCCTTGGCTATTTTAGTCGCAATGAGTGTCATTGCGTATCAATCGCAATTGCGAGTACAACGAACTGTAATTCCAAGAGTGATTTTTGATGATAAATAGAATCCTACCCTCGTGTCTTCTGATATCAAATACATGAACACTCGCTGACAAAAGTAAACTTTATGAACTTGTAGTGATATATTTGATATCAAAAGACACTCTGGGGAGATTCTCTATATCCCTTGGAGTTCTTAATAACTGTAATTTACTCCACACGAAATTCATTTTAGAAAACAAATGTTAAGGGCAATCCAGTGAAAGATTCGATGGGCCGGATGCAGTTCTAGCGTTTAACAGGAACTTCACAAAAGAACCCTCGTGGACTATTGCAGTTGGCATCATCCCATCTGTACTGTCCGTCACTCCAGCGGTAGGACAAACAACAGTTGGCAGGCCATCCATCCTTCCCGCTTTGCTGCCAGTAGAACTTGACAATGGGTGTTCCGTCAAACCAGATCCAGTTGACCTTCCCCTTGCCCCCGATCCACAGTGAAAGCTCTGGAAAAGACGTGTGGTTAGTTGGTATTTTAACGCCGCACTCACCAATATTCCAGCTATATGGCGGCGGTCTGTAAATAAACGAGTCTGGACCAGACAATCCAGTGATCAACATCATGAGAATCGATCTATACAATTGGGCTCAGATGACATGTGTCAACCAAATCAAAAAGTCTGACCACCTGATCCCGTTAGTCACATTTTGCGGCAAGCATGGGTTGCGAAAGATTAATTCTAACCCGGATCTTCACGGGTTTAAAGTGAAAGGAAGCAATGTACTGATATCGAAAAGCTTGGAGACCAAGGATAACATGAGCGTTATTGTGCATGTTCCTCTGTATAAACGACGCTACTTAGGGTGGACAAGTTTTGAAAGGGAACATAGAGCTTGATGAGTAATTATAAACAATTTCAAACCTGTAATTGTTCTTACAATTTTCTGTGACAATTCTGTTCGGGTTTCCGCTTTCTACACGTTTTCTACACATTGATAGTTGTTCATATATATTTTTACCGAAACCCATCAATTCATTAAATGTGTTAACAAATTTCATACAATTATGAAAAGGGAGATTCGTTACCTGAAAGTGTACAGTCTGCAACGAAGTTTATAAATTCGGTACAAGGTTTCGGGAAGTGACCGCGTGCGTGCGTGCGACATTCTGAATATTTTTACTGGCTATTTATGATAGTATTGTTAAAAGTGTATGGTTCCAATGACATTTATGAAAATATGTCCCAATCTGACACACGTCCGAATTGCGTAGATCGATGCTCGTGCTGTTGGTCACTGGATTGTCTGGTCCAGGCTCGATTATGTCGCCATATAGCAGGAATATTGCTGACTGCGGTGTAAAACTAAACTCTCCCACTCACAACGTGATATTCCAGAAATACTGCTTGATGCGGCGTAAAATATAGGATTTTGGACATTCTGCATTGTTGCTATAAAATATTGCCGAGGCATCTCTGGTGTTTAAAGCGTTTGCCAGTCACGTTGAAGATCCGGGTTCGATTCCCCACACGGGTACAATGCGTTAAGCCCATTTCTGGTGTCCCCCGCCGTCATATAACTGGAATATTAGTAAGTGGTGACAGGGGCGGAAGGGTAGGGTAACGGGTAAAGCGACCGCTCCTCAGGCTGAAGACCCGGGTTTAGATACCCCACATGGGAACAATGTGTTAGCTGACTCACCCACCCTTCGTCAACACGTATGTGACGAAACACGTGCATGCACGAAGACGCGAGCCTGAGTGAGTGAGTTTAGCTTCACGCCGCTTTTAGCATTATTCCAGCAATATCACGGCGGGGACACCAGAAATGGACTTCACACATTGTACGCTTTAACCATTAATCTACCCCACCGCTAATCTTATTGCCGACGCCACCCAAAAAAACTTCTTTTTTCCTTCCAACACCGCCGACTCAAACCTAAAACGCACCGCCTCGTCATATCAAATGTTAATTGATCAATCCCATTAATTAGTCGCTGCCACAAGTCCAAAGAACGCGAGAAATTGTAATAGGAATTACTGACTGACTGACTGACTTAGTTTAGCTTCACGCCGCTTTTAGCATTATTCCAGCAATATCACACATTGTACGCTTTAACCATTAACCTACCCCACCGCCCCGTAAGGCCTGACACAACCAGGTACCTGTTCCTCAAAGCGATCTTAGTGCTACGATGATCGTCAGACTATGTTAAAGCATGGTAGTTACCATCGCCTTGGAGCTAAGATAGCTTTGTGGACCGGGGCCCTGGCCATGAGAGATAACGTTAACGTACGGGTAGATTCTCCGTAGGTGACCATGAACTTGTGTTTTTCTTCCGTGTCTACCTTCATCAGGGCCCCTCCATCTGCCTTGCATACCTTACTCGCCATGTGCCACGTGTGTCGGGTAGTCGTTCTGTTCCGGTAGCAAATGTTCCCCCGGGGATGGTAGACAAATCCTCTCACACTGCACCCCTCCGCAGCAATCCCTGAAGGCCAATATCAAATATTTAAAAATGTTTGGGGGGTTTATTTAAATAAAATTTTGTAATATGATATCTAATGCAGTTCAACATCTGACTTGTACCAAATGTTTTCAAGGTGGGCGTGTCAAACGAGATATTGACTTGGCTTTGCATGCAACGGATGTCGCCGATGGAGCAGGATTCGCTCACCATTTCGTGAAAATATCTTTATTGATGTCATATTTTTCGAAATTCAGCATTGCAATATCCTTTGCTAAACTAAGAATTACTTTTGTTTCAACGAATATCAGTTGCCCAAAAGAGGTGCTAAAGGGCAAAAACGGAGTAGGTGGCTGTTTGCAGGTGTCATCTATTGTCCAACACTGTTTGCAGCTGTCATATATTGTCCAACACTGTTTGCAGGTGTCATCTATTGTCCAACACTGTTGGCAGCTGTCATCTATTGTCCAACACTGTTTGCAGGTGTCATCTATTGTCCAACACTGTTTGCAGCTGTCATCTATTGCCCTGTTCGGAGGAACTAGAATACCGAGAAAATATTTGAAGCAAGAAAATAATAATTGAAATAACGAGATGAAAATGGAAGCAACGAGAAATTTCGATAAAACCATTAATGCAGAGGTAGCAACACAACGGTTATATACTCGGCGTCATAAATAAAGAGTCAAGTGATACAAAGCACATGTAAAGACAAATTTCTCAGAATTGCTAGAACTAAGAGTGTCATCATAATGTTGAATGTGTTGGCAAACGTGACACATCGTGACATACAGACAAAAAGTTCAAACAGCACGAGGAAACAACCCCCAAAATGAAAATGACAAACATGAAGTACTCGGTCATTCAATATGTTGTGTGCCCTTCTCGCGCGTCCAAGACACAGGTGCACATTCTCCTCATGCTCCTTATCAAGTTCATTAGGAAAACTTGCTGAATCGCATTCCATTGCTCTACTAGAGCTCTGCGGAGTCCTGGCCACTGGTGCTGGTTGACACGTCGACCGAGTTCATCCCAGGCATGCTTAATTGGGTTGAGGTCTGGCGAGCGTGCTGGCTACTCCATCCTCTCTACACCCTGCTGCCTAAGGCATTCCGTGACAATCCTGGCCGTGTGAGGCCTAGCGTTGTCGTCTTGCAGTAGAGAGGGTCGACCATAAAAGCCATGCATAACTTGCAGGAAAGGCCAAAATCTCGTCAAGATAACGCTGTCCGGTAAGATTACGTCGACCGCGAGCAGTGGAGTACGTCCAGTAGGAGTTATTCCTCCCCAAACCATGATCGAACACCCTGCTGCGTTGAGGAATCCCTTACGTGACGCAGTGTTAATCATGTGTCTATCATCTCGGACTGTTGTGACTCTGGGGCGACCTGGTGGACATGCATATTCCACGGACCCACTGGCTTGAAATCTCTGGCACAGTCTACCAATAGCACTCTGACTCACATTAAAGCGGACAGCAACCTGCCGCTGAGTTTGACCAGGTTTTAAAAGGCCTATAGCCTGACCCCTTTCAGCAAGTGTAGAAAAAGGTATAATTTTAAGCTGCGATTTCAAACAGGTTCCTGAACAGTGAACGAAAGTAAAAAAGGGTCAATGTATGTGTATTGTCCTCCACTTAGAGCGACTTGCACGATCGAATCATTGACATTAAGAGGCAGGTGAATTTCTATATTGACAATTTGACTTAAAAATATACCATTTGTAACAGAATATATCGGACGTTAAATGACGCAATATTGACATTACAACGGCCTGATAATATTTTTCCATCCTGTTTAGAAACTTTGTAAAACACTCAGTTGTATATATTTCAAACCAAACCGAAGATTTTACAACTTTTAAGAAGTAGTTTTACCAATAGCTTAACCCACCATTAATGACGCCGAGTGTAATTATTAACACGCAGTCCATAATTGTTTACTCAGTTTGAAGAATATCTCCGCACAAGAAGTAACAAGCGCGACATCCACGAGCTATTCGCATTATGTTTTTAAAAGGCTGATGTACATTAAATCTTGATTTAGATAAGATACATTTGTAGGTGTGCATTTACCTGTGGAAAGGGTTTTGTCACTTTGAAATACCTGTCGGTACCGTCATCCGCTAGTTAATATTAAATTTCGTATCTTTATTTCCAGGTACACTCCAATTGAGACTGGATCTTGCCTCGAATCTAGATGGTTTGTTTACTTCTTAGCTGTTTAACGCCGCACCCAGAAATATTACGGTTATGTGGAGCCGGTGTGTACATAATAGAGTCTGGACCAGGCAAACCAGTGATCTACATCATGAGCATCGATCTACGCAGCTGGGATACGATGATATGTGTCAACCATGTCAGCGAGCCTGACCACCCGATCCCGTTAGTCGCCTCTTACCACAAGCATTGTGTTGCTGAAGACCAAATCTGACGTGGATCTTGAAGGGTCGGATCAATATGTAAATGGTCAGATTCACTGCTAGCTGCAGTTGAGACATATGTAAGAAATTCAAAAACTTTAAAGGACACAAGAAATTATATCGTTCACATTTTTATCAATATAGTAAATATATAGCCTCTCTATAGTGTTGCTGCTACATCTTCCTTTCACTATACCGTCATACCCCAACTGCGCAGATCAATGCTCATGATCGCTGGATTGTCTGATCTGCAGCAACAACAATAAAACAAAAGCAAAAAAGGAAAATCAAGGATTAGGACTGCGGAAAAGTGACCTTACTGGTGACAGATACTTTTCCATAATGCTTCACGTTGTCTCGAGGTGCCAACTGAGCTCTGTCTGTTATATTGGCATCTGTCAGGAAGCACTTCCCGTCCTCGTAGAACAGAGACCTACAGGAGGGGCGATCTACACACAGCTTGGCACAGGCTATCTCAGTTACAAGATTCATCTCCGGAATAATTCCCAATAAAATGTGATCAGAAAACAGAATTTCCATGGCGAACACCCCAATAACACAACCGGCACACATTGCTGCAACTTGTCACTGTGCTTAAGAAATTCTGAACGAGTTATATTAATAATTAAAAAGGAACTTGAGATTTGAGTTCTCCACTGTTGCAAATGTCAGTTTTGGAATGTGCAATGTGTAATGAACTCTCTGGGTCAAGGTCAAGCGATACTCTAGAACTTTTACATTGTAAAATCCCGTTCATCAAGGATACTAGACCCCTTTCTGGTAAAATATGTGTTTGTGCCATTTATAAACATATTTGGCTCTCCATCGGAATCGTGTGGTTGATTAAACTGCGATCCGAAATTTGACGTGACGAGCATGTACTCTGATGATATCACTGTAACCATGTGGGGAATAAATTCAATTCAATTCTTTATCGAACCCGGTCTGCTGGCGTGACGAGCGAGCACTTTAACCACTAAGAATACTTTTGATAAAACACATGTCCATAATTTCACTTTCTTTCAGACGCCGTGTAGCGATGTGAACAATTTGTTGTACAAATGTCTGAGAATATTTTAAAATACGCAGTTAATAATTGAAATGGTGAACACAACTAAAGAACATTTTGCTGAATTGAAAAGTAAATAATATTTCACCATTGAAATTCTAAACGATCCTGTATTGTGTATCGTTTATGCTGTAATGCCTTGATGTGACGGTGTTGTCCTTAACAACCTATTTATCCGACCAGAGAATTCACTGCAAAATCTATACAGCTATAAATCTGTAAGTATGAACATTCTCTCATCTTAATTTTACACCTCGCAGAATTTGTGATTAATATCAGTGGCACTATTGAGAGAATAAACGTTGTCTGCTTCTAACCAACAAATCTTAATCGAGAATTTTGAGACGATGAATTTCCGTGGCAGACAATTTCGGTGTTTTTTTATCTGGGGTTTCCATAACATCCTACCTTTTCCACAGCAACCTTGACACAAGACTTTTTCAGGTGACCTTTCGGGGGACATTAACTTCTAGTGGTAGGTTTCATCTCAACATTGAGTCAAATTTTCCAGGCATCCCATCCGTGACCTTTTGAAAATGTACATATATACTAACGGAAAAAAGAAACTGTGCATAACATAAAACTGCATAAAATAAAAGCTAAATTAACATGGAGCAAAGCACTTCGCATAAAATCTCATGTCACTATTATTACTGGTGGCGCCTGGCACGTGAGATTTGTGCACAATGAACTTACTCACTTTTACATGCTTTCTAACACCTGAATTTCACACACCTGACATTGAAAACTGGATTATTTTCTAGCTTCTGAAGTTGTGGAAAACACGTTAATGTCAACCTAAACTGCGCGTACGTCATGCCATGGCTTACAGAAAATCAACGTCATCTCATCACTGATTTCCAAACTTTAAAAACTGTAATATACTGACGGAAAAGGGTAACTGTGCATAACATAAAACTGCACAAAATAACAGCTATTTGAAAAGTTAAGATCCTAACTTAACATGGAGCAAAGCACTTTGCATAAAATGCCAGATAAACACTGATAAAGAAAACACCACAAATCATGATATTATCTTTTTGGATTAAAGAATGGCATAATATGAAACATTGCACAGTGATCTTTCTCAAGTAGTATATTATTTGACAGAAACAACATATCGAAATTTCCCCTGGTTCCCGTTATCAGTCTGGTTAAAAATTCAGGGACAACCGACAGCCACGTCATGGTCAAAACGGATGAGACTACCAGGACTGAGTGGGTAGCTTAGTGGTTAAAGCGTTCGCTCGCCAGATTGAAGACCGGGTCCGATTCCTACATGGGTACAATGCGTGAGGCCTATTTCTGATGTCCCCTGCCGTGATATTGCAGGAATATTGCTACAAATTGCGTAAAACAATATTCACTCACAATGAGGGTATCCAACAAGTTCCAAGACACAGATCATAGAGAATGCCAGAAGACTTTACCTCGTGAAAACAATGCCCCAAAAGACCAAAGTTTCAAGTTCGACCTTTTACTCTAGCCCCAATGAAACATGATCACAGACACACGGATGGAATTCCTCCCTAAGGACGAAAATATAAACTACTGTTCAGAATATTTCAAGAGAGCAGAAAAGGGCAAACGTCATGTATATAATGACTGCTACATTATCATGGAAGTCTTGCTAGCTGTGATAGGTAACTGACCCTATTGTTGAGGCAATATAAGATATATTGATGACAAAACAAGAAAGGCCACGCCCTAAACAAATCAGATCTGACTAGGAACCCAGATTGTGAGTGGCTGTATCCTCACGGGGACCTCTTGAGAGGATACGTAATTCCCAAAACATCCTGAGAAGCATATTTTGATCTACCACAAATCATTAATCGTAGTATGTTTGTTGTTCTACCAAAATCAGCATAATCGTATGTTTGTTGTTTAAATCCAGCTAGTCCATTACATGTGCTAAAATTCAGTTTTAACGCGCACAGCGACTTCCAGAAGGGCGGGTGGTCTGTAAATATGAGTGAGTCTTGGGTCCATGCATCAAATAGCGCGAGCATCGATCTGCGTGAGTGGGAACCGATGACATATGTCAACCAAGCCAGCGAGCCTGACCACCCGATGCCGTTAGTCGCCTCACAGTACGATGCCCAGCCTTGATCACTGGATTGACTGGTCACGACTCGATTATTTACAGTTACGCCGGCGGTGTAAAACTAAACTCACTCATTCACGATATGGCTGACATACGGCCGCTGGGCATATGAACTTTAACTCACTCACTCACTTACTTAACTTGATTGGATTGGGGCTTCGTTTTGTTCATTGATTGTCTCACGATTGTATCCAGGTAGTTAATTATTGAATAGATAAAAGAACAATCAAACAATTTCAGATGCTCTTCTGTGTAGTCTACTAATATACTTTGGAATGAATTATCACTGTATAGTGTCGTTTTACTTTGAACAAAGTGAATCCAATTCGTCGATTTGAAAACCGTCTTGTTGTAACTGTATAAAGAGTATGTTGATACATGTTTTTCCCCTCTGTTTAGGGTACAGAATATCTTGTCAGGTTGCAGGGGTATCCATTGAGCAGTCGACCTGGGAACCACGTTCCAACCACATCCAACATTCCTGTGACCTACCTGAGATCTTTTCCCATGACGCTAGGAAGTCGATTCAGTCAAGACTAAAGAGTCGGGGCCTACTGTCACCTGTCATTTAAACGTGTTTAGGGCCTTATTTAGGACTGACAGAGCAATTCTTCTAGGTTGAGAAGAACTAGAACATGTGTCTTCCACCCTACTGGTGGTATAGCATTAACAAACACGGAAAAAGAAGAAGAAGAAGAAAATTAGTTTATTAAGGTGTCACACATTGTTTTTACAACCAAATTCAATAAAAGTACATGTAATGAAAATGTCCATATGGCCTATATGATACATCAAATACATAATTGTGAAATATTTGCCATTAAAACCTATGCCCATATCACAGCTCAATGTATCTCCCTGCCGTGGTACCGACCACCGTACTGTGCGCGAGAACACCAGCATGTTCTAGTTACTAGCTAGAGGGTGTAAGTCACGCAACGCCCATGGTACTGAGAAATGATAAACGTTGCTAATCCCAGAACCGCCTTTGCTGACGTCATCCCCCAGGGACATCAGCACCCACGACAGGCCGACAACAAAGCACGTATACACATTTAAAAGGTTGAAGACATATATCTCAAACATGAGTGTGATGTGGTAGATACTGCTTATTATCGCTGAGCAAATTACTGGCGCTTGTACATTTTAGTAATGGAGTTGCTCGTGTTATCTGTGAAAAACCTGGATGAACTGGTTCTATTTCTTGCCCTATAGCATATCGCAAATCTGAATACAAACTGCAGTGAAGTGTACTTCAACTCTAACCACATTTTCACTGCAACATTTGCAAACACGAGTTTTCGGACGAGCATCTCCGAGGAGACAGTTGTCTTCAGACTCGCACAAGAGCTTGCACCTTGGCCCTGATCCATCGTTAAGTAATAACCATTCCGATATATGTACGATGTTTTGAACATTCACTTGCTTGAGTTGTGTGATTTTTGTCATTTTCCTAATATTTTAAGTTCTGAAATATACACACTGTCATTCAACCTGAGGACCTTACGATTGAGTCAGTTCAAGGACACTGTTTTAAGGTGAACCAAGCCCATGTATCAACTTGAAATACCTTAGGAACATTTGCGTCTTTGCAAATGACAAATCTCTTACTCAAAAAAAATTGAACCAAGCAAAGAACTGTATGACAATTTTAACAATGGTTGACATCCGAACTCTCAGCTTGCTTATATTATGATTCACCAGAATGATAGAGAAGAAACCAGGCTAGCTACCCAATCTGGAATTGTATGTCGCAAAATTGAAGAAAATGAAAGGAGGGAAACAGAAAATCAAATGTGAGAAAAACATATACACCATGGCCGTATTGGCCAGGAGTTGGTGAAGTCCTCAGATATGAATAATGATCAAAGAATTTGACCTCGAAGAACGTGGAAGTGGAAGATCGCTGTCCGGAAATGTGGTGCTCTTTAAGCACGAGGCAAAGCGAATTTTCCAATTGAGTGTTTCTCCAAAAAGACATTTAATGCCACCAAGACCTGCAAAAGAACATTGCAAAGAGTTATCTCCCCATGACACCATTTTTCAGAGCCTGGCAATGACGTGGCAGTTACATCGGGATCGTCTCAAAACATGAAAAAAGAAAGCTTGATGAATTTGATAGAAGGATTGTGAGGGACGCCATGTGTCGGTTACATCGATCCAATGAGTCCATATCTTCAAGCAAACTGAAGAAATATTGTTCAAAAAAGAAGACCATGACATCAATGTATCAAAGCATACCATATGCAAGCTCTTGCTCAAATTTCTGATATAGATACAAGAGATTGAGCAATCAGTCTTTAAAGACTTCAATAC